TTTTTGAGACAGGCTCTTGCTCTATTGCCCAGGCTACAGTACAGTGGCGTGAGTTCAGCTCACTACAGCCACAACCTCCTGAGCTAAAGCTATCCTCCTGCCTCAGCCTCCCAACTAGCTGGTACTACAGGCACATGCCACCACGCCCAGCTAATTTTTAACTTTTTTTTTTTTTTGGAGCAACCAGATCTCACCATGTTGCCCAGACTGGTCTCAAACTCCTGGACTCAAGCTATCCACCTGCCCTATTTTCTATTTTGTTTTACTATAAATACATATAATTACTAAGGTATGAAAAAAAGAATTAGTTTTAGTTAAAAAATGCTTATAACATAAACTAATTTTCATTAACTGTAATTTTTCTTTGTAACTGGATAAAGAAAAAAAGGTCAAATCTTTCTATATTGCTATTTTACTAGAAAAAGAAACAACTGGCAATAGTCCCTATAAATAAAATATTTCACTAACATATAATAAAAATCTCAATTGAACAGTAGTTCAGTGGTTTCTGACAGTTGAAGACAGAGGTGCCCTAGATATAAAGGAAGCAAAGCTCTCACTAGGCTTATCATGTCGTGAAACGAAAGCAGCCTTGAAAGGAACATCAAGTGACATTCCAGGACTGAAAAAATCAACTGACATTAAGAAAAATCAAATTAATGAAAGCAAAGAAGAAGGAATTCCCAGGAAAAGATGTGTTTGCTTGACAGAGCCGGGCACAGTCGCGCCATGCGGGAGCCGGGCAGGCGGGGTGGAGAGCGTGTGCCAGTCACTGGCCGCCTCTGCTGTGCTGGGACAACATGCTTTCTCTGCCCACTTTCCCCACGTCTTCCACAGCAGCCTCACCATGCAGGCCACAGCTTAATGAGCACCAAGCCAGAGAAGGCCCACCGTGCTCTGAAGCCCTGCGGGGTTCTCTCTGTTCCAGTGCCCAGTTTGATTTGACCAGCAGTGTTTACCGCTATGCAACGGTTTCATTTATATGCTTATGCCTGTCCCCTCCAATTAAGCAGAGGCCAAGGACACTGGATCGCCTGCCTACTTGCTCTGTGACAGCAGGGGTTGGTGCACCAGCTTTGACCATTTGCTGACCGTAACACTTAACCTTGCTACCGTTTGTGTGTGTGTGTGTGTGTGTCTGTGTGTGTGTGTGTGATATATTTATATTTAGACAGAGTCTCACTCTTTCGCCCAGGCTGGAATGCACTGGTGCAATCTTGGCTCACCACAACTTCTGTCCCCCATCCCGGGTTCAAACAATTCTCCTGCCTCAGCCTTCAAGTACCTGGGACTACAGGTGTATGCCACCACACCCAACTAATTTTTGTATTTTTATTAGACACAGGGTTTCACCATGTTGGCCAGGCTGGTCCCAAACTCTTGACCTCAGGTGATCCACCCACCTCGGCCTTCCAAAGTGCTGGGATTACAGGCGTGAGTGACTGTACCCGGCCAAAATCGAGAGCAATGAGATTGAGTGTGAATAATAAGCACTGTATTTTCCAAGTCTCGTTTCAAACATAATCATTAAGGTTATTCTTCTGTAAATGAAATTTACTCTGCTAAAAGCCCGTACCCTCTTTGAAAAAAGCCTGGTGAAGAATACGCAGGATGATGTGCTAGAAGAGAAGCATCCTTCCACTACTGCAGTAATGCCAGGAAGGCTGTGGCCCGGAGGTCTAGTGCAAACACTCGGTATAAACCAAACAGGGTGGCAAGACGAGAGCAAATGCCAACTAGACAAAGCATGTACGTGAATGGGAGAGGGGAGGTGGGCTGACTTAAAATACTTTAGGGTCTTAGCATTGTTGAGAGGAGAGTAAAGATAAAGCTTGACTTTATAATTTACTAAATATTATATATTAAATATCTAAAACTTCTAGGAAAACCACAAGAATGGAAATATAGGGTATCATTTCAAGTTAATAGAAAAAAATGGAATTTAAAAACTGAAAAGTTTGCAAGGAAGAAAAGAAAAATAAATACAGAGGTAAAACAAAGAGCAAAACTAAAGTGGTATAAATTAATGCAAATAAATTATTAATCACAGTAAGTATAAAATAAAGATGGTAGCATGGGACTGAAGAAACACTACCACCGAGCTAATGCTGTTTATAAGAGATTTTCATTCACCAGAATAACAAGAGCACTTCTAAACCTCTAAGCAACTAATAACATAGCCTCACAATATATAAAGCTGGAATTCACAAAATGGGAAAAAGTACAAATTAATTCATTATTATGGTGAGAGATTTGCACACTCTCAGTAACTAAAAAGTTAAGAGGTTTTCTTTTTAAAAAGACAGTAAAGCACATAAATAATATTAAAAATTATAATAAGATCAATCTAATGGCTATCTATAAAGCAATTCAGGTAAAAAAAAATATATTTTCAAAGCACACATGGAATATTTATAAAATGACCCTGTAACAATCCACAAAGCAAGTACTAACAAAAACAACATGCTATGAGGCTCTGGAAGCAACTTCCAGGAGAAGAATCCCAAAACATTCTGTGTCATGAAGCTCCAATAAAAATGAACGTGTAACCTAATATAACCCAAAAGGCTTTATCTAAGTGTCTATCAACCTATTTTGGGTGTGGGAATAAATTTTCTCCATAGGAAAAATATATGCCACCCTTGAGACAGGTTCTGAAGCTAGCACAAACATGCAGATGTGCCCGGGCCTTGGGTGCAGCTACTGAGAACCAGAGACTCCACTCCCACTCACCACAGGGTCTTCAGGTGAGCAAGGCTACAGTGTCTAGAGCATGCGGCAGCTCTAGGAGCAGAAGCAGCTCCTCCATCTGAGTCAGTCACTGAAGCCTGCTTGGCCTAAGACAGGCATTTCAGCAGGCAGAATACTAAGAAAAGCAGGGGAAATGTCTTATTTCCTCCTCCACCTGACGGCTAACGAATCTTCTCACATGACACTGGACAATACAAAAATGGAGACCAGGGTTCATTTCGTGTGTGTGGCAACAGAGACAAAGGAAGCTCTTGGGGAGTGGATGGCATCAAATGGAGGAAGCTGGTGGACAGAAGAAAAGTGGGAAGGGCCTGGGATCAAGGTGAGTATTTAGGCTGAATAGCAAATGAGAGCTATCTGAAGGGCCATCACATCCGAGTACGTAAATTCTGGCACGGCAGTCAGAGAATACACACAGGTTAGGTTATAGCTATACTTTGTTTATAGCCACTTAGCCAGTGCGTCTTTTGAGGACAAAGATTCTATCTCCAGAGTCCACTCGTGGCACTCAATACGTGCTGGCACAGGAACTGTGGCGATCCACACTTGGGCCCCCTGAGCAGGGCAGGGCCTTTGTAATAGGTCCATTCAACAGATACTCACGACGGCCCTACCCCATCCCTTGCATGCTCCGTTCTAGGCCCTAACTAGGACACGACAACAAACGGGCCACACAAGGCCTCTGTCCTCACAGGGCGTGGTGAGAAGAGAGAAAGCTGGCACCAACGACACAAACGTCACAGAGATCTGCACAGAATTCAGGAGGCTGCTGTGGTAGCAAGTGGCTGGCTGTTTCTTGGTCTGAACTGAGGAGGAGACAAAAGGCAGCCTCTCTGAGCACGAGTATTTAGGGTAAAAGCCGAGTGACAAGACAAGACTAGCACAGAATGATGAGGCGGAGGAGCACCGAGGCAGAGGGCACAGCTAGGGTGGGAAGCAGCCGGCACACGGGGATGGCCGCTGTGTGGTGGGGGAGGAGGGGGAAGCTGGGCCTTAGCAGGTTCAATCCGCAAGCCAGGCTAGAACAGCCGTCTCCACAGTCAGCTTTACGGAGTGCGCAAAGTGGCTCAGCAGCAAGTCACACAGCCGCAATGAGAAGCTGCTGTTTGCTGCGTACTCTCTGCACAGGTCTGGCCACCTGTGAGCCAGGAAAGGGAGCGCCCCAGGACTCTGTGCTGTGACAGGCAGAGAGGAGGCTGATTTCCCATCTCTCAAACAGACTGGGTGAAAGGAACTGGATTCATTCCCAGTGACCGTCTTTGAGGGCAGTGCAGTGTGCATGTACCCCAAGAACAGATTATAGCTCAGATTTTTTTTTTTTTTAAGATGGGGTCTCACTCTGTTGTCAGGCTGAAATGCAGTGGCATGATCTTGGCTCACTGCACTCTCTGCCTCCTGGGTTCAAGCGATTCTCCTGATTCAGCCTGCCAGGTCAGATTTTATGACATAATAGAAGAGACATCACCTTTTAGAGCAAATTTTGGAGAAAGCTGGTTTACAAACAGAGATGTCCTTCTCTCTCTTCAAAGCGGCTACCTTCTTGAGCCTAATTGTTCTACACTGTTTGAGTCCATTCTCTGCTACAAAAGGTGGATATCCTAGATTCATCCTTTATCCATCACTAGGTTTCAGTAGCTCATTCCTATGAAAATTTTAAATCATACAAATTAAGAATGTCTTTCTTCAAATATTTTGGCAAATATTTTTAAATGAATTTATAAATGATTATATGGTACATATTAGTCTTTAGATTAAATAGGCATCTAATATTAACTATTTATATCCCAATCTCTAGTTATGATAGAGGTTAGCATTTCGAAATGATAGTCTATACTAAAACACTGCCTTACTTACTTAATATTTTATCTAACTTGGCAGACATTAGATATATTAAATAGAACTTTAAGATGCTAATGACTCCACACAGGTCAAAGGGCACTGGAAATTTAAAAGTCTACCAGCAAAAAGCAAAACTAAATTTGTTGAATTCCAGTTTATCTTTCATCAGGAAATATCTTGTGATTGTTGAAGAGTACACCATTAGCACATTCACGTCAGGAAAAGCCTGGCACCTCTCGATCACTCCACCAACTGATGACGTCTCCCCCAGCGTTTCCGCAGAACGCCTCACGATTCCTCAGAACTCCTGGCTCCTACTTCTCTAGCTTTGTTTGGATAATTTCTTTCACATTCAGAAAGGTTAGTTTAATGAAACCAGACATTGGTGTTATTTTCATTTTCAAACCTACCTTATGGGAATGATGTAAGAAAAGAGGAGAAGGAACCGAAAAAGATTGCGGTACCATGGACCCACAAATCCTTGCAAGGTTACCATAACAACGGAAAGAGCAACTAAAGCCAAAAATAGTGCTTTTGTCAGCCGGTTGAGTTCAAGGTCCAATAAACCAACCTGAAAGAAAAAACATCAACATGAACAAGCTAAGCACAAAATCCCCGATAACACAAATCAGAACACATGACGATGATGATATTAAAAACACACATGAACAAGCTATGCACGATGTCCCAATATTACAAACAGAACAGTATTACAAAATGACAGTGACGACACTGAAAAACCTCGGTTACTTTGCTGTTAGCCTTTACTACAATGAAACAGGAAACTGTTACTAACTTTTCTCCTGAAACACCTTTGACAGATTCAAGCAGAATTTCTAGAAATGAGTCATGATCCCCAGAGCATTTCCAGAAAGGGTCTACTGACAAAACACCAGGCCAGAGCACACAGCTGCAGTGAACTCAGACATGGCCGCTGGACGATGGCGCACAGGTCACCGGCTGGGGCAAAGTGAAACAAGCCTAGAGAGGGCACTGGAAGCTTGCTCAGGGCCGGGCCCGGGGCAGAGAGCTCTCAGAGCACGGGTGCGTCTTCCTGCATGTGCTATGCCACGGCCATGCCTGATGGCCACGTGGGTGCCTCTGCACATTCCCCGTGAGGATTCTACTCAGATGGAGAGTTCCCAAGAACAGAACAGAATGTATGTCTTTCCCATCTTCTGGTAGTCTCTCTGAAAGAACTTATCTTACAGAAAAAAAGCAATAGATAGATAGCTTATAATGAAAACCTTTTTAATTTGCACAGATCCTACATTGCATGTTCTCCCAGGAAGGTACACTATACCCAAGCCCATTCTATGGATCATTTACCAGCTAAGCAAAATGTGAGGGAAAATTATGTCAATAAGAATCAGTTCATTTTTTTGGCTGCATTCTGTATAGGATCTTGGAAACAGTGAGAACTAGCAACCCACCCAGCTCTCTCACCACACAAGTTAAGAGAATATAGTTCTTTCGAAGCATGTACCTTCAATTTCGAGCTCTAGCACTTGCCATGAACTGTTTCTCCTTTCTTGCTTTCAGCCCTGAAAGACCACAAGGCCGCCCAGTGAGTGGGGTTGGGGAGGAAAGCAGACTTGCTGCAGGAAGGGAGGGAGAAGGGACGCAGCACAGCAATTAGGATTCCTTGGGACTCTGGATCTGGCTAAATTAGATGCTGACTGCCACATCACGGCATGCCCTCGGGCAAGCTATCTGTAAAACAGGGACCATGGGAGTGTCTTCCTTGCAGCCCCCGGTGGAATGGGAAGAGGGAGAGCCTGGCACAGCGGCCACAGTTCCTGCTAGGAAGCACACTCCCCACGCATGCACGCTGCTGCTGTATTTATCGCACACTTGGGTTGGAATCCACTTCCTCTGCTTACTAAATGTGATTTGAGGAACACCCTTCAACTCTGTTAAGCCGCGTTTTCCTCATCTGTAATTGGTGGTAGTGGTACGCACGGAGCAGAGGCACCAGGGTGAGAGGCCACTGCCTTCAGAGGCGCCAGGGTGAGAGGCCACTGCCTTCGGCATCACTAGGTCAAAAAACAGTGTGTACTTAACTTACCTACTTATTTCTGATCTATGTGATATTAACAGAAGCCCAATTCCTATTAGGTTAGCTATCTATCTGCCACCTCAATTTCTCCTGAATCTGGAAGAACTTTTGAAAAGGAGTACATGAAGAAAACATGACTGTAAAAAACCAGATTAAAAAAATAAAAAGTTTGAGAATTACAGAACTAATAAATAACTTGGTTTATTTTGTAGTGCTTTTTGAAAAATCTGTAACTTTGTCCAATAGAAAGCTAGCCTTTTCCCATAACTCATATATTTAGTTCACATCTGGTTTTGATTAATATTTGCCACAAACTCTCATGAGATCATTAGAACCTACAATTATCAAGCAAAAATAAAACTTTGTCAAAAAGTCCATTAAGTACAGTTGTGAAGAAAACTCGACTAGTTAAACAAATGCATATAAATGTCTATATTTTGTGCTAAACTCTAAGGTTATGAAAATAAGCTCATTTTAAGATTTTACCTGCAAGAAACAGCTAATCTAGTAGGAGAAATAAAAAGAATACCAGCGATCTATGTTATAAAACAGAATCGTAAAATAGGAAGTTTTCTCTTCCAAACAGGCTTATTTTAAATCACTTCCTGCGGCCGACAGTCAGCACTACCGTTGGTTAACAGATACTTCATGGCGTCTCACAACAGTGTAGGGACAACAGGAGTGATGACAAAAACCCCAAAGCCCTATGACTGGCAGTGCCCAGAGTCCAGGTTCCACGGGCAGCACAAATGGGGGCACACTCAGCAGGTGGGGCGGCACCTCCTGCACTGTCCTGTGCACACTGCCACTGTCACGGCCTCACTTGGCCATGGCCACTTCACTGCGTGAGACTCCTAAAAATGGACACTTTAAACACAAAGTGTCAGCTTTATGTGAAATAGCTACTCGATTCTAATGTAACAACTAATGAGACACTTTGCCTGCCACAAAAACTCTTCTCCGTAATGCAACACAGCAACACGGCGAGCAGCTCATTTTCAATATAAACTCTTCAGAGACTGCACATTCCCAACCCTATATTCTCCCAAGAAAGCACACTGCTCTCTAATTCACAGTAGCAGATCTCCTTCCAGCCAAGTAAAATGTCCACAGCAACATCTCAGGGCTCCCGAAAGCAGCTTTTGCATTCCTGGGTCGCCACAGAACAGTAACAGCGCTGCTCCTCCAGATCACAGTCTGAAAAGGAGCGATATTCAACCAGTGCTGAAGTTCCCAACGCTGCTGCAAGCATGGGCTGTGCCTTCCCTTGAGAATGTGGCAGCTGAAGACCACAGCGGCTGATTTATCAGCTCTATTTAGAAAGCACCACAAGCAGGACAAATATCGTGCAATTTCCGCTACTTCAACTACTACATAGTTTATGCTTGAATTATTGAGAAAAATAGGTTTTTGGATTAAAATGAAGAAAAATTAAGCCAGGGAAGTAGAGCATGTTTCAAAGCCCAGATCCTTGTGCTGTGACAAAGGCAGTCTAAGTTTCAGGCCTCACTGAGGATCAGATGAAGTCATTATTCATTCAGTCAGGGAAAAAAGACTCAATTACCTCAACCTAAAGATGCTATCAATGAATGCAAAGTGCGTATTTTACTCTATTCATCCAAATCCCATTAAAAAGTGAAAGGAATGATTTAATCTGGCCTTCCAGAGTTGGTCTTTTTTTTGTAATAAAATAAAGAATCACTGTCTTGCAAAATGCAGAACCACTGCCTCACACTTTCCCTGCAACATCGCAGCAAGGGACTGTAAAAGCAGGACAAAAACACTCAGAAATGAACACAAAGTTTCCTTTCAAAAAAATGCCACGTAGTGGAGGGAAAGATTCAAAGCAGCCCACTGCACAACGACAGGCAGACCACTCAAAGCACTAACACCTTCCTCACCGACAGAGACAGATGCGAGGATGCTTGATTAGCGAGTGTAACCATTTGCAAGCCAATAGGTCTCCCAACCCCTTTTAACTTAAAGAAGAGCAATAAAACTTGCAGTGGAATAAAACACAACTTTTCAAGAATGTGCTGTGCCTTGCTTTCTTCCAAGTGGCCTTTTCTGAACTATGACTGTTCTTCCTGGAATATAACTTGTAGCCAAGCTACACTATATAGTATAAATCTTGTGGGGTGGGTTTTGTGTGTGCGTGTCAATTCTAACAAAACAGAAGAAAAGACGCATTTCAACACTTGGTTGTTGTTTTTTTTTTTAACCCACTTCTATTAATAATCTTTTAGTATTCAATTTCTCTGAAATATGCTTTTCTTCAACTCATCTAATATACAATCTGAAGATATTTAAAATAAAAACCAGTTAACTTTTAAAGTTACAGATTCTGCAAAGAAGGTCATGGCTTTAGTTTTGATGTGGACCTCTTCCTTCTTTAAACATATCTCAAATACCTGGACAGAGCAGGTACCTTTTGTCTTGACTGCAAACTTTTCACCCATAAAAAATATGAATCACTTGAAGCAATTATGACTGTTTAAGAAAAGGTAACATAAGTATACTTAGAACTCATTTTCAACATTCATCGTCATTTCCTATATTAGTAAAACAAATTGTCTTCTACTTGTCATAATATTTGTTTTATTAGAAACAACTGTGATAACAAAATCAAATACACTACTGGAAATTTTAATCTCCAAGGGAAAATTTGTGCATGATGTTAAGACAACCACAACGATTCTGCAAAGGGGCTGTTCTAGGATAATGAACACAATAATTGCCTGTATAATCTAAAATGCTACTAATGGCAACAATCACAAATCCATTTAGCTCCTCTTTAATTTATGTACCAAGTTTTAAATAGCTAATGGTTCTCAGTAAAATAATGGTTTATACCAACAATAAAGGGTAAATATGGTATTCTCCTTGCTTAATCAAGAAAAGATCAGTCAGGCTTTTTTTTTTTTTTAAATGAATGCTCAGACAAGTGAGAATTGGACCTTATCTTCATGACACAGCAACACTTCAATCCATTTCAAAGTGAAAACTCACATCATACTATGAAGTTCCTAAGAAATCAGTGTACACGGCAAACTGGAGCACAAGTCGAATACCGTAAAATCTCAGACCTCACTGATGATTAAACACAGTGCCTGCGTAACACTCACTTCTGGTGACATCACCCCAGGTTAACAGGATGTCGGCATCAAAAGGCTCTTACCACCCATCTTTTAAAACTCACGCGTACTTATTTTAGAATGGTAAAATGCAAAACTTCAAAGAGCCAACTTAAACTCTTGTAGAAAGCTAAATGATTTTAGGTTGTCCTGTAGTTTCCCTGTGAATGTAAGATAATCAGAGCCCCCACTCTGATACCGAATTCATTCATGACTACTGTGCACAGGCAGAGAAGTTCAGCTTTGTACATCGCTGACTGCGTCAGGAAGAACGCAACTGTTAACGGTGCTTATCTTTCACCAGCTCAATGATTTGTGGATCAGTTCTTCACTGAGGATTTGGAACCTGACCACAAAACTGACACAGGGCTATGCCTC